ACATGAAAAAAGTACATGTTTTTGAGAGGTGTATATGTTTTTTTTGTTCTCCTGTAGATATTTTACCGTATATTTGTTAGCAGTGGTTCTCATCCTGTGTAACCTCAGGACCCACATTTGAAATAGGTAATTAAGTCATGACCCAAGTCGCAGTAGTGTGCGTTCCGGTGTGGGCGATCGAACTGTGGATGGGAGGTTGCGTTTGGGATGCCATTCAAATAAAATGGCAACGCACCTCCCACACCAGAACGCGCGGTAGGTGCGATTGCTTGGTACAGTGCATTATTCGTACAGGACTGTGTGATAAACGCACTGTACTAGTGTGAACGGGCCCTCAAAAACACACACACAACTACAGACACAATCTCACACACAATCACACATTCCCAAAATGTTTTTACTTTTTTTTTCTTTTTTTCAAGATTAACCCAGTCTCCCTACCTTGCAAGAACTGGAGTGAATCCTCAGCCTGAGGTCCAATGTGGGCTGCTGTGCTGTGACGGAGCCCCAGCCATATGTGCATTGTACAGCTCCCTTGCTTGCCCTGTAGAGGTGTCATGAACCAGAATGTGACATCAGTCCAGGCACCTCTACAGGGCACATGAATGAGCTGTAAGTGATGTATGTATGGATGGAGCTCCCTCGCGGCCATACCCCCAGCCCACCACACCTCAAGCTGACATTTGGTGTCAGACAGCATATTTTGAATGGCTGCTCGGTGCGAGAACTGACAGTGCTGCGTGAGGGGGATGCAGAGGAGCCTCTCACCTAGCGCAGTGGAGTCACGACCCACCAGATGAGAACCACGGTTTTAAAGTACATCAACTATATATTTTTTACTATTATTATTATTTTTATTAATATAGAAATTAAACAAATTCCTAATGAAATAGACACTTGTTTTTGATGACGTTTCCACAAGCATTTTACTACATTTGCAAAGAGAGACAAACTCAGAATGAACACACTGTATGCATATATACAGCTGTATTTATAATTTCATCCTAAAACAATTTACATCAACTTATTCCAGCTCACACACTATTGTCTTCTCTACCCTGGAGCAAGCAATCAATGTTTCTCTGCCATTTTGCCCAAATGTGGCCTTAATGTGAGGAGACAATGGATAAGCCGGGACAGACAAACAGTTAATTTGCCTCACACATAACCAGCTCTGGGGCAGCTGAGAGGCAGAAGTGATAGTGAAATAGCGGCTTTACAGACTCTGTGGGACCATGATCCAGGAAAAAAATAGTATTCTTGGAGGCAAGATTGCCTTTTTAATGGCAGCGGCAAGGGGAACCATAGGATCTAAAGTTCTTTTTTGACTTTAGGCTCACTTTAATGACCCTTTTTAATCTCTACAATTGGAAGTTACCATGTGGGATAATACATCATTTGTTTTCAAATGATATCTTTCTAAAATGATTAATATAACTGGATCACAGAAAATATCAGGTTTTATCTCTCATATTTGATGTGAAGAACAAAATTGGGAAATTAAGCCTTTAGTCCATTATTTAGAATATTACCAGCAGCCTAAAACGCATTTAAATATCTGAAAACTGCAAACCATTCATATGTAATGACTATTCTTAGCTTGAACGGCAGCCTGTGGTCTGTACAGCTGAGAGAAGAAGGTAATGATGATCACCCCTAGGAAACCTTAGTGTTATCCTTATGTGCTGCTTGGCACATAACATTCTACAGATATTCATTTTGCTGTTCATCATCACATTTACCTCCTGAAGCTGCAGGGAATAGGCCATGAGTGGCTCTAAGTGCTGCAAAATAACGGCAGGTAACTATCACATGTAGGGATTGGCACTAACACAGAATGATTTAGTTAATGATGATAACACACACAAACTTTTGAGTACTTACAAACTCCAAAGCTGTTTTTTTTTGTAAACTTATTTCAGATAGTAAACATTCTTGGTCCAAAAGTAAAACCTAAAGTATAACTAAAGGCAAAACTTTGTTTTAGATTTGGATAAAGGGTCATGAAAAGACTCTTACCCCACTGTATTTGCTAGGTGTCCTTCACGGAAGTGCCCAGCTGCCCATGCCTTTTTTCACAGTAGTTTTTCTATCAGCCTTAAAAATGGCTAGAATTCACTAAGACGATTGCCTGACCATAGACTTCAATGAGATTATCTTCAGGGTTCAGGTTTTCTAATTTCAGACCCTTTCTGAATCCTCTAGCGCATTGAACCTGGGCAGATTCACTCATCAATATTTCACAGGGGCTAGTTGTAGCCAACTCAGCAGATTTCTTAAAAAGTGGCCACTTGTCTTTCTAAATACACAAAGACTAACTGGTTATTAATAAGAAATATCACGTTAGAGAGAATTAAATGATGTTTATAAAAGGCTGGCTTGCCTTCTTAAAGATCAACTGCAGACTGATGGATTTTCATATAATAATTTCTACTATGATATATACAATATATATGTATATATATTGTATATACATATATATA